TCTGATAGGCATTCACTAGGAATGATTCAAGTCCAAAAGACACCTTTTTCGACGCATGTTATAACTAGCTTGGTGATGGAAAACTAAGTCTCAATAAATATTCCTTATTTCTATTCAAATGTGGGGTAGTATTGGGGTTTGAATAGAAAATGTGGGGTATTGTTGGAACTTAGTATAGTATAGGAGAATTTTGTCCCACATAGGAGCCAAAACAAAATAAAGTGCACCTAATAAATCCCAACCCTTGAGCATTAAATGAATCATTTAATTGATTGGGCTTGGTGTGTGGTGTTCTTGGTGGGATCCTCTTGACACACACACGCACACATATATATATACATATAAATATATATAATGTCAAAATTAGGGCCTTGGGCCGTAGGGATCTCTCGATTGATAAAGGGATTCACGAGAGGTGTTAATAGATAGAGTTGGGCGCGAACACTGGAAAGTTACGAGACCAGTGTCTCATCATGCTATACCCAGGCACTATTTACCAGTTTTAAGAGGAGGGTATAAATACCCTTAAGTGCTTGCATTTTTTGATTGATCAACACATACGAAATCCGCTAGATTCAAGTTTAAGAAATTTGATGGGTGGTTCTTTTTGTCACCCGAGGGGATGGTTGTGTAGTTAGAAGGGGTTTTTGTGTCACCGGTAGGTGAATCATGGTGAAGGGGCTACTTGATCGGTGATGGTAGTAAGGATAGAGAAGAAAGGGAGACACGGTAGGGGTAAGGTTGGGCGAGGTAAATGCCATAAAGAAAAATAATAATCTAAGGAAACTAAAAACAATAAAAAGTTCAAAAAGTAAAAAGACCAAAATACCCTTGTATTAACTTTTTTTAGTGATCCGTCTCAGCCAGGACCAAATGCAAAACAAAATAGCAACCATAATGTAACATCCATCTTTCTGATATGCCTTAACTTTATGCTTAAATGTGATCTAAATGTTGGAATACCCTTAAATATATTTGAGTAAGATTTTGGAGTGGTTATATATTAAGAAATCATAGTACATTGCGTTTTGGCTAAGTATGTGTTGAAAATATAATTTTTTCAGTATGGTTTTGAGCATTGGGGTCAATTGAAAGACTTTTATGAAATTTGAAGGTTTGGAACTAAGTTTAGAATCATTTGGAGGTATTAGAAGTGTTGTAGACTTTTTTTACGCGATTCTGACCATAAAGTCAAATAAATGAATTAAGGAAAGTATAGCGTCTAAGTTACAAATAAGTAAAACTTCTTTTATTGAGATATATTTTCTGGAATATTTTTATTGTAAGTTATAGGTTATCTCGCTACGAACGCATAGGCGAAAACCTCATCGAAAACGGAGTTTCGAGCGAAAAGTTATGCAATTTTTAGTGTTTAGTAGTCAAAATGGGTACCAAACCGGGTCAAACCGACCCAACTCGGGTTTAAGAAGTGAAAACCCTCAAAACAACCCCATTTTACCCACATTTCACCCAAAATCAGTTCTTGGTGTTCTAAGGTGAGAACACACACACTTGGAGCTAATCTAACCCTAAATCAAGTGATTTAACAAGATTTTTGAAGAATTTGTGGAAAAATCAAAGGTAAAACTCACCTCATAGTCTTGTTTTTGTTTTGTACATAAATTGATTAGTTTTGAGTCCATGCATGTGATGATTTAGTAATGAAATTATGTTAAGATTAAGTGTTATTATCTRTTAGTATGTGAAATCCATGGATGAATTGTAAGATTTCTTGAAATGTATATTGTTAATTCAAGAACATGTGTTGACTTTTAGGAGTCAAAGTGAAATATGAAGAAATTGGTAGGAAATTGATGTTATAATCATGGTTTATGACTGATTTTATTCTGTAATATGGTAAAAATAATTGAATATATGAAATTGGAATTGATTGGGATAGTATTGGTCATGTTTTTGAATGAAAAATGGATGTTTTGAGCATATGTCAACATGGTTACAGCTCTGTCTTTGAAAACTTATATAAATTCGTATAAAATTCCTAAAATTATGTATAAATAGGCCCTGAAAAGGTAAGAGAAAGGGCTACAACTTACCTTTTGAAGTTAAATGGTGATTTTGAGTTTTAAAGGGTCAAAACAGGTCTGCAAGTTGAGTATTTTGAATGGAATTTAAAGTAGAGTGCCTAATTGAAATGGGAATTGTGTGAGTTCTTAATGTGCATCACTAATGAGACTTTGAATATGAATTCCAGGGATTGTTTAATATTGTAAGGAAGTCTGGGAGGTGCTTTTCAACCTTTTAACTGGAATTGGGATTCGACCACTTGATTTGGCATTCGGTTTAATACAACCGAATTGTAATGTGAGTTTACTTGGATATGTGTTTATTATGTGCTATATGTGTATATGTGCTATCCTTATGGTCTTGATACTTGTTATACCATGATTACTCCTTGTAATAGTTTGTTTGTTGCTTTGTTCTTGTGTCGGGCGTCGGTTGTCGGGCACCTTTGGATCCGGGTGAGACAACCGGAAGGGGATTTCCCTACTCATCTGTCCGGGGATGGAGGATGGTTATTGCAGGAAGATGAGTAGAGAGTTTGTACACCATTCGGGAGTGGAGGAATACGGATTGGTCAGTCAAACATGATGTTTGTTGGTTGATTTGTACATAAATTGTTGGTTAATGTACTAGTTATCCATAGCGTGATTAGGAGTATTTGATATGTTTGTGAGATAAGTTCATGTGATCGAGTACTCGATGAAAGTTTATTGACTTTGTTGTTTCCTTAAGAACCTATGCTTTGATAGCACATGCCTTTGATGATAATCGACTCTTGTACTCATTGACTTCCTTGTATGTGAACTTATGTGAGACATGATACACATGACATCCGTTTAAACTCACTAAGTTTTGTTAGCTTATTCTTTTAGTGATAAACATTTCAGGAAAAGAAGATAGGGGTAAAAAGAAAGTTGTTTGACCGTTAATTGTTCGCGTCGAAAGCAAAGATCGTCATCTTTTGGTACATGTTAGTTTATACTTTTGGGTAGTACTTGTATAGTTGTCACTTTTCCGGGTTGATGTTTTCCCGATGAACACTCTTCGGTATTTTAGACGTAAATGTTGGTAAAAAACTTATCTTTTGATGCTATATACATGTATCCCGTATTTTGTTGAGATTTGCCTTATAATTGAACTTAAGAATTATGTGGTAATTGTGCTTTGGTAACATGTGTGTTACATATAATAACCATTAGCGTAATAAATCAAGTTCAAGGATGAGAATTAATGTTAAGTGGCAACCACATTGAACAAAAAGGTAATTTACTGTAATAATAAATAAATAAATTATTATTTGATTTTTTTTTAATAATCATGAGTTTCTAGATCATTTCATGTAAAGAGTTCTTATAAAAACTTCCATTGGAGATGCTCTTAGAGTGTCTTTAAGGGAAGTTTTTATAAGAACCTCATTTTTGCACTTTTTGTTGTCACCTTACTTTCAACTCATCAAATTAAGAATTCATATAAAAGTTCACAATGTTAGTTCTTATAAGAACCTCCTTTTTGTAGGTCTCATGTATTTTTTTTCAACATCAATAATTATTATTTTTATATATATAGTATTAATAATTATAAAGTCAATAATATATGAAAGAACTAGGAAATTGTCATTTCATACAAATTTCATGATAGAAACCAATGTTCTTATACAAAAACTCAAAGGAGATGAGTCAATCAAAATATAAGAACTCTCCACAAGAGTAGTTCAAAGTCACTTCACTTTTTCTTATAAGAATATTTCATTGGAGATGCTCTTAGAGATGTACCTCTCTGAAAATGTGGATATTTTGGCTTTTTTATTAATTAAGGACAAAAACATAAAAAAAATTAGTTAAAAGGATAGATTAGTGATTGACCCTACATTAATAATTCATTTTAATTATAAACATGTCAAACAAATCTCCGATTGAACCAAAGATTGTTCACATCTCAAGAAAGAATAACAAGGTTGGCCCACGTGCACCCCGGCTCGGGCTGGCTTTTTAGGAAGTCTGTTCCCACCGTGCCCATAGCCCGGCTAGCTTGCCAACAGTAGTGGGAAATTATCTCGTTCCCTAGTTAAAGACTTGGATGCGGGATCTACTCCACAAGGAGCGGAACGAACGTAGATGAAATCATCACGACCTCTCTTTTCGTACCGCTAGGGATGCTTAACGCCACTTCGCCAACTGGCGTTACCTGCGCTTTCGTGTCTCTCAGTGTGGTCAGCACTGGGTGTTTCCGAGCAGCGAGGCTTACACCCATTCGCATTAGTTCATCTAAAGTTCCTTACCCTTGTGCACAAATTCTTGAATAAGCCATCTTCCTATGAAGGTTAATGTCCTGAATATGATAAATCCAGCATGAGTTACATGAACCCTTAGTAGTCTATTAGATAAATTGATATAATAGCCATACACGTTAACTCCACAATGTGGAAAGAATAAATCAAAGTAGAACAAATGGAAGACGTTTGGCCTCATACGATGGTTTAGGCGAGGAAGAAGAATAAAGAAGAGAAACAATAACAATTTCTAACATATTTTGGTAAAATGAAGTAATAGAGAGTATTTTTAAATGCTATTTTCAGAAATAAAAACAAGATTTTCTTTATTACTATCATAATAATTATTTTGTGTTTTTCGTTTTTAATCGTTTGGCCACGTGAGACATCTTATTACTGCCTTCAAATCTTGGTGCAGACTTGTTCAAAAATATAAATTGCATAAAAAAGTAACATATTTTAACTTTCATTTTGATACCTAAGATGTAAAGTTTTAGACATTTAAGCACCCGAATAACCGGTTATCATGTTAATGTAAGAAGTGATGTGACATCCAACTCTGACATGGTTATAGACAAGGATTTTTTTAACCTAAAATTAGTCTTCAACCAATTACCCGAATACTTAAATGTTTAAAATTTTACATCTTAGGTACCAAAATGAAAATACGTTACCTAAGATAAGAATTAAGTTAAAGTACGTTTTTTAGTTTTTTCTCATAAACAATAATCTCTCAAATAATAAAGAAGAAAAACACAAATACCACAAGAATAATACTTGAATTTACAACAGACCAAATCCATCATTTTAACACCCACAACCACAAGGCTGGATCCATTCATTATACACCCCCAACAAAAACAAAACCACCAAAATATGGTTCTTTCATCACTGACAGATTATTCATCCACGACCACGGCCTCCACCTGAATCCAAAACCAAACGCTCTTAGTTTATCTATCACTACCTGCTAGTTTCGCATGCCATGTATAGAGAGAGAGGATCATGCAAGAACTTAAAAACAATTTACAATAAGGCAGGATAGGAATATTCAATATCATATATGATTACACTCATTTATGTGTTCAATCATATATGATTAAACTTGTGTACCATGCTTGTAATCATATATGATATTGAAATTTCTCGCCTTCTCAAAAAATGTTTAGCTTATCGTTTGAACCTGCACCTAATTGGTACTAATATGGTGGTCTGTAAATGATCAATATATATATATGGTTTGGTTCCTGTGAGAAATGTCATTTTCCATATAAAATATAAAACATTCACATAATATATATCGTAACATTCATATAATATGTCAAAGTATCCTTGTACTTCTGTGAAGTCGTATGGAGGTGACCCGCCTTCACAGACAATGGTGAATAACTTTAGATACATATTTCAGATCTGTAACCTTTATACATCCACAGAATATAATGCAACCTTCACCACTTCTCACCAAAAATCTTCTCACATGATCTCAAAGTCTCTCTCTATATAATATATATATATATATATATAT